TTCCCTAAAATGAAATGCCCAATCAAAAACTGGCAACTGAAATGAAAAGACACTTAGCAGAATAAGAAATACAAATAAATGGCCTATAAGTACATGAACAAATGTTCGACACCATTAGCCATTAGAGAAATGCAAGTTAAAACAACACTAAGATTTCATCTTACTCCTGAAATAATTGATATCATGAGGAAATATGATAATAAGAAATGCTGGCAAGACTGTGGGGAAAAAGAACCTTTCAACATTGTTGGTAGGGATGTAAACTGCTACAATCACTATGAAAACCTGTATGGAGATTCTTCAAAATCTAAAACTAGAAATTCCATTTGACTCAACTATTCTTTTAGATAGCTTCTCAAAAGAGTTAAAGACATCATATTACAGTGACAAATGCATGCCCATGTACATAGCAATATCTTATCCTTAAATAACAGTCAATAATCAAACACTATTAACATTTTCAGAAATTATTCTAATAAAAATGAATATCTTTGAAGAATACACTATGCAGAAAATAATCCAAAAATAAGTATATTTTCACAGCATTAATGTTTATAGAGATGTAGAGAGGATTTTACACCTATGAACCAAGAAACACAATGGATGAGTGTGGGAGGGGGTAAAAGGAATATCAAGAAACATTTTTGGATTTTGGGAAGATAAAGTATGGCTCAAAATGTCACATGCTATAATGAGGCTCACATTGAAACACATTATAATGAAACACTCTAGTCAAATCATCACAAGTCAAATACAGAACATTGGATTGAATCTTGCATATAGCAAGAACAGAATAATTTATAGTATACAAGGGAGATCAATAAAGCTCGCAATAGATATATGATCTCAGAAGGCAAAGAAATGCTATACTCAAAGTGCTAAAAAATAAAAATATTGATCAAGAATTCTATCTAGTTGGCAAACATCTCTGTGACAATAAACTTACTTATTAGTAGTAAGACATTTGATCAAAGACTATTTCAAATGTTTCTGGAAAGGTATATTTTAGATGAGATTAACACTTAAAAAAACTAGTTGATTTCCATTAAAAAGACAAAAAACAATACCATATAACAAGAAAATGATCAGTTCACCAAAAATATCCCATACACAAACACACACACACACACACACACACACACACACACACACACACACACATTCAGAAGTACAGAAATTACTAAATAATTGAAGGCAAAAATAACACTGAGATAATTTATATGCTGTCTGGAATTTCTATCTGCCAGAATAACGACCTAAATAAACTTCTTTAATTAGAACTTATCCCCAGGTATTTTGATACAGTAACATTATGTGGATTACTATACCTCTTAATAAAAATTTCAAGAACAGATGACTTCACCAGTGCAGTTTACCAAATATTTTAAAACAGAAGTAACACCAATCCCTGTAAAAATCTTCCCAAAAATTGAGGAGGATGAAATATCTGGCAATTCCTTCTATGCAGCCATATTGCCCTGATAACAAATTGAACATACCAGAAGAAAACTACATACTGATATTCTTTATGAATATTGATCCAAGAACAAAATACTAAAAATCTGAATTTAACAGCATATTAAAAGGATTACACAACACAACCAAATGCGAATTGCTTTGCAAAGCAAAGACAAGATCATTTTCAATTTTAAGAAACTAAATTTTTTAAGGTTGAGATCAAGAATAGAATATTAGTTTTTACCAATTTTATTCAATATAGTATAGGATGTAATAAAATATGAAGGTAAGAGAAACAAAAAAACATGCTAACTGGAACATTAAATTTATCTGTTCACAAGGAAAATGAGATTTGTATAAAACTAATAATTTTATATACTCATAAATTGCACACACAAGGGGCTGGGAATTTAGCTCAGTGGCATAAGCGCCTGCCTTGCAAGCAGGCAGTCGTGAGTTTGATCCCTCGTACCAATAAAAATAAAAACAACAACAAAAAAATTGCACACACAAAATAAAGTAGCTCAGCAAAGTTGCAGGATATTAAAACAACCCATAAATATCAATTGTATTTTTATACATGAACAATACAAAAAGGAAATTAAGACACCCTCTCATCCCCAACACTATCAAAAATTAAAATACTTCTGAGTAAATTTGAACAAAGAAATAAAACACAGGTACATTAAAAAGTACAATATTTTGCTGAAAGAAATTAAACAGAAATATAAATGAAAAAAACTCATCTTCATGTAATAGAAAACAATATTATTAGGATATTATCTAATATGACCTACAAATTCAATGCAATTCCTATCAAAAGTTCCATTGACATAAAAATAAATCAAGGACCATATCAGCAAGCCAAAAATGCCAAATCCTAGAAGAAAACATTGTGGAAGAGCTCTACAGTGTTGATGTCTTTTGTGCACACACATGAATAAAAAGACTAAAAGCTAATGAATAGTCCAAACTAATCAAAATCTAAAAGAACAAACACACTATCAATAGAATGGAAATAAAATCCACCAAGTGAATGTGACATTTGTAAGTCATTTACTTGGTAAGAGACCAACATACCACAGCACAAAAGAAATCCAATCACTGAACAACATGAGGGCTGATAATATAGTTATATAAAGGTCAAGGGATTGGGGTGTATATTTCTCCGAATGATCCTTCCAAATAGCGAAGGAAGTACATGAAAAGACACGATACTTGATATTCCTAATAAGTAGGGGAATACAAATTAAAACCACAATGAAGATCACCTTATGCCCATTGGAATTGCTAAAAATAAATAAATAAATAAAAGAGAAAATTATGAGTATTGGCCATGATGTAAACCACCTTGGGCACTGTTAGTGGGAATGTAAAATAACACAGCTGCTATAGGCTGAGCCACAAAATAAAACCCTGTCTCAAGGAACAAAGCAAAACAATAGGAATTACTATAGGATTCAACAATTCTAATTTTAGTTAAGTATATGCCAAAAACAACTGGAAGTATCAAAGAGTTATTTTTACTTTCATATTCATTCATAAAATTGTTATTGGTAGAAGCAACCCAAATGGCCATTAAAGAATGAATAGATAAATGAGTATATTAAAAAGGGTATTATTCATCCTTAGGAAGAAAACTCTGATTCATATTGTAACATAAACACACATTGAAGATACCGTGCTCAGAGAAACAAGTAAATCACACCAGGACTAGTATTTTGTGATCTCACTTCCATGAGCCATGTAGAATAATCAGAAAGTACCATGGTTGTTGGCAGGAGGGGCGAGAGGAGAAGTCAGGAGTTAGTGTTTAATACCTAAAATGTTACACTAAGAATAATAGTGTAAAGCATTTATGGGGATCTTGAGGGCTACACAACAATATGGATGTATCTGATACCACAGAAACGTAGAGTTAAAATAATTCCAATGATAAAAACTACATTATGCATCTTCATCACCAAAATAGTGTAAGACAATATGCAGAATTGAAGAAAAAATAACTTTTAGCATGTACATGAAATTGAATAAAGAAAACCTAACCAACAGTAGATAACAAAGGCCAAGAAAATGGCTATGAGAGAAAGTAGAAGAGCTATTTTAATAGCTCCTCTAAAAATGTGTGTACTCGACATTACCAGTAGTTTAAATATGAAAGATTTTCAAATAACATTTCAACAAAAAATAGGTGTGAGAAAGTAAACACATTCTGAACATTTTGTGCAGCTAAGCAGTGAGCAGTACTTTCAGTCACAACAATTAAAACACCAAAGGTTAATTAGTCCCCAACTAGTGATGATCTAATTCTATTGAGAGGGTACACATTATTAATAATCTACAAAATCATTAAATCTCTCTCCCCATAAAAATTCAGATAATATCAAAATTTGAATAATAATTTTAAAAGAGTAGGCATAATATTAGGAGATATAAAATTATTCCAAGCATCAGTTCAAATTACTCAATTAAACTTTTTGGAGCACTAAGAAGAGTGAGTGGATGATAAGGAGTTATCATGTTTCTTTTCATCCACTTTTGTTTATAAGCTTAAATCTATAAAAGTTTTATAAAAATCATACTACCTTTAATAAAAGATATGGAGCTGAGGAATACACACAGCAGGAGAACTACTGAACGGTCCCTGGGAAATGTGTAACAAAATTTGAGCAGTTGTCACCCAAGAAAAGAAAAGAAAAAGGGGCTAAGAAAAGTATAGATATATTATGTACCCTATGATGACTGTAATCATTATGTACATCAAAAGTATACCAATAAACTTAATTTAAAAGAAGCATAAGGGTGCCACCATGAGTTTCTAAGAAGGGAAATATCTGATTATTTAAGATTTAAGAAAATCTCCTGAGAAAACTGGTAACTCTCTCAAGTGATTTTACAAAAATAACTACACTGATTTATAAAGGCAGATATACAGAAAAGTTTGCTTTGTCTCGTATAATAAAAGTTTATTAGAAAGAAACTGTAAAAAAAAAGAAAAGATAAACAAGTGATAGTGATGACCAAAAATTAAGATAAATGGATATATATTTTTATTTTGTTTAGTTTGGTTTGGTATCAGGGATCGAACTTATGACCTTGTGCTTGCCAGACAAGCACTTGTATCGCTGAGCTAAATCCTCAGCCCTAATATATGCATTTTATAACAATACTATATTCAAAGTTGATTAATCTGATGACTTCACACATTAGCTAAAGAAAGCATGCTGACATAGCCACATAGCAACAAAACTATCAACTCGGGTATAATTCCTTCTAACCAGTGTTTCTTAACTCCCAACTTCTACCTTATATCAAGCTGTTATCAAGGTACTGATATTCATCAATCTTCTCTATATTTTGCCCATATATTATATGACATTTACATTTAGAACATACTGAATGAAATACAAACATTTTTACTGGTCTCAACATATATTGCATATACTTGTGTATTTATAGTTCAAAACCCACATTCTCAATTTTTAATATTGTCTTCATTAAAATATATTATTTAAAGGTAGTTCAAATTCTATCTAACTAACCTTTTTGAATGAGAGGTCTTGATTTTTTTGATTTCTGGTCAGCAGAGGAAATATCTTTTCTCTGTTCAATAGATATTTTTCCACTGGCAGGAGATATATTCTGTGAAAATAAACAGAAGCATTAATAGCATGGCCTAAGTTTTAGATTTTTTGAAGAGCAGTCATATACATTTTATAGTTACTATTGATTTTCGTTAAAAACTTTGATGCAGACAGAGAGCAGGAAAACTGCTAACAGTTAGTAATATAACGGGCCACGGCATGCAGGAGACTAAGGGAGAAGCAGGGATATAGGAGGTTCTTTAATTAGTAAACAAATGATGTGACAGTGTGTAGTAGGGGGGCTGCAGGGAGTTCAGAGCAAGGGAGAGACAAAATTATTTGCAGGTCACTGAAAAGCAGTAACATCAGAGATAGAGAGGGAAAATGATATTAAAAATGAAAGGAGAAGAAAATGGGACCAGATTAATAAATCTAAAAGTACAAGCGGCTCAGATATGAAGGAGAGGAATAGTAATGGAGAACTGGGGACGAGTTTCAAGGGGGTATTTCAAATGTAAACTGAGCAGCGGCTCTATAGGTGCTGTTTGTGCAGCACTGCCTTCTTTTTCCTCTTCACAGTCCTCCAGATGTTACAGAGCTTTTACAAAGTCACTGGGAACTCGAGTCCTTTCAGAATTCCCATACAAACTCCGTCTTCTGAATCTGTGCAACTTCCATCTGGAAACTGTTCTTACTAATCAAGACAGGTACTAGACCTCTAAACACCCTGCCTACATTCAGTCACGACATGTCCGCATTTCACTCATTTTGGGGCAGTTATGAAGATAAAGGAGGAGAGATTACAGAGGGGAACATAGCACGCATCTAGCTCTCCTAGAATTTCTAATGACTTCTAGTAAAACCCCCATGGCTTCCCAGAGCTAAAGATAAAGAATGTAGTGCTTTGCTAGGGAAAAAAATAGAGAATAATGGTAAACTGAAGACTTGGCATCAAAAAAGGAAAAATGAATAGATTATTGGGAAGCAATAATCTGACACAAGCAAAAGCTCAGAACCTGGAGGGAAGTATACGTTTGTATACTGAAACACTTTCCCTGGATATTGTTCTTTCCTGGGTGAACATTTTGATCTAAATTCTAAATATTTATATTCAGACAGATTTTAATGAGATGCTTGCTTTTGTGTATTTGTTTAAAGAATTCTTATATAATGCTTATCATTTGCCATTGTTTTAACCTCTTTGTAGATATCAATTCATTTAACCAACAAAACAACCAAGAACTGTGCTATTTTACCCTAAAAATTCTCACAAACATCTTTGCTCAAGAGAGACTTTGGGTGATGTGTTTCTTTTAAACCAGTTAGCAGCGTAAGTTCTCTAATATATCATAGCTGAGAGGATTTCGCAAACAAAAGACATTGTTACATTTCCACCTGGACTTTGACTTGTCTACTTATTCACATCCCCTACTTGCTTCAATTAAAGAATAAATAATAGGACATATTTCCTGGTTTTCACATAAACAATGTTCTATCAAAATTTTTGTATCAGACAACAGATATACTTAATCAACCAGCTAGATTTCCTTTTATATTTTAATGAAACATTTGCAAATTTATTTCTAGAAGAAAATTTGTTATTACAGAGTAACTCATAGTGCTAGAATTTTTACTGTTACAGATACTAATAATTACCTGTTGCTAGAAATGGATCTCCAGTTGTACTCTTCAAAAATCTTTTACTCATCAACGCTGATAAGACAATCTATTATTGTTCTTTATGTGATAATGTTTTTGCTAGAAATACAACTTAGGTACTCTTGAATTCATACATTTTATGTTTAGAGTTTTTAAAATTTTGCCAAAAATAATTATAACTCAATCAAGATATGACACAATTGTAAGTATTCCTTCCACTTTGTTTTAAATCTAATTCTTTCCATTAAATGATTAGGGCAATCAAGCATGGTGTGCACACTTGTAATTCTAGCATTTGGGAGGCTGAGGCAGGAGGACTGCCGTGAGTTCAAGTCCAGCCCATGCTACACAGTCAGTTCAAGGCCAGTCTGAATTAGACCATGTCTCAAAAAAAGAAAAAAAAGAGAAACAAACAAACAGGGCAAAATTATAGTGTACTACTTAGATTTTGTAATAAAACTGTGACAATCTGTGCTATTGCTTTTTCTACCACAAATTCTTCTATAAATCCTCTTCAGAATACAGCAACATTCTTGTATCTTCCTACTTCCCAATTATTACTTTCATTACTACTGTTTCTCCTTCCTAAAAATGCAATTCACATGTACCCTTTTTATTCTAGCTATCACATTTTTATCTTACCCATAAACACAATGAGTATTCTCAAAGATACTATTTTCCCTAACATTTACTCCTTTACATTTTCCTGAATGAATAAGAAAACAAAGAAGTATATCTGTCAAATCTATATATCCAATCACTACTAAAAAATGATAATTTATTGGCTCATGAAATTTTGAACTATACAGGGATTTAGGAAGTTCCTTTCAAAAATGTAATTCCTTTACTGCACCCATTTGTCATTTTTATGAACCCACTGTCACTATTTTCTTATCATTTGTTATAATTTTTGTTTCCTTCCATTTATAAAAGAAAATCCTTGGCAAAGGATTCAAAAGTTACAGTAGAACAGATGCTGAAAAAGATGATCAGCTATACTAAAACTCTATGGAAACTACCCAGGTATGAAAACAACCCTTTCTGTGACATACATAATTCTAGTAGAAAAAGAAAGTCTATGAACACTTATTGATTGATCTATGAGATCGTAGAGAATGAAAGGTTAAGAGAAGACGGAAATGATCTAATAATTTTCTTTTCAATAATATATGTATATACTATTACCTGTAGCACCTTAAATCTCATACTGGTCTTCAATACTTTTAGGCAATATTTTACAGATATTTGGTAATACTTAACTAAGGAACAATATAAATTGAAACCAAATCAGCAACGTCAGATTTTCCTTCATCTGTAATAGGGTAAAAGATAAATTCTCACTCACATATCCATACTGTGGTAAGCTTGCATTCAGCAGTGTGTTTAGTAATTCATTACTAATGAAATGTTAGCAGTGGAGCTCAGTGAGGTCAAGTGACCACATGTGAAGACTGAGGTTTAATAAAATCAGGCCACTCTGAAGAGACATCTTTAATGTCATAATAAGTGGATCTGGTCTCAGGCCAAACTTGCTCACTATTTTTACATATGATCTGAATAACAACATATAAGAAATGTCTATGCATTTCCTGATGAGATGCTAAAGGAACAGATTCACTTTAAAACCAAACGAAATCCAAAACGTCCACAGATTGAAGCATGAGTTAAATTAAGTACATGAAATTAAACAGAGATAAGTATTGCAGTGGGGTAAAATATAGGTACTCACTTGAATTTACATTGCTTGATTTAAAAGACGTGATAAGAGGCCAAAGTCTCTCATTTAAGATTAAATTAATGAGGAAATTACTGAATGCTGAGATCCTAAGTCATACTAGCCTTCCATCTCGAATGAGGGAAATGATAGTCTTGTCATATTCATTTCTGATCAGAGCCACAGTTAAAGCATTGTGTGCTGGCTTCGGCAGCACACAGACATAGTTAAACATTGTGTCAAGGCCAGGAAGCATTTTCAGACGGAACACAACAGAAAACAAGCTACATACCTATACTGTTAAAGTAAGTCCCACTTAAGTAGCCATATGTAAATCTAAAGTAAAGTTAGCCAAAAGAGATTTAGGCTTCAGCTTCTACTGGTATCCATCTGCATATTGGAAATGATAAATGTATAATTTAAATGAAAAAAAGAATTTGTTATCTAATCCTTCTTCTGAAATTTTCTACCTAATCAATTTGCAAATCTTGACAATTCTGCCTTGTAGGTAAATTTCAAATCAATTCATTTCTATCCATTTCCACTATTGCCTAGGTCATCCTCTCTTCCTGTTTATGCATAAATAAATAATATTGGAAATCATAAAAGACACTTTTTTGCAAATATATATATATATATATATATATATATATATATATATCTGCTGGTGACAGTATAAATCTGATTAAGAGCTGGGCATGGTGGCTCACACCTGTAATCCCAACAGTTGGGAGGCTGAGGCAGGAGGATCACTGTGAGTTCGAAACCAGTCTGGGTCACAAAATAAATTCAAGGCTAGCCTGAACTGCATAGAGAGACCCTGTCTCAAAAATACCAAATAAAATAAAATGAAATAAATCTAATTATGTTTATTTTTAATTTTAAATCCTCTGATATCTACCTAATGTTTAAGTCTTTACTATGAGCTGCAAAAACTCAGCAAAATATGTCATTCCTCTGACCTGAGGTCAAACTGATCTTGTGATACACTTTCTGTTTGTTGTACTCCTGTATGCAGATTTCATTCGGCTCCTTGAACACTTGCCAAACAAATCAAGCTCAGATCCTTGTGCAGTTTCTTCCTTGCTCCTGGAACACTCTCCTTCCCATGCACTGCACAGTTAGCTGCTTATTTTTCAGGTTTTAAATATTATCCTCCCAAAAAGTTCTGAAAACAACCCAATAAGAAATGATCTTCATCTTATTCTCCACTGAAGACACTACTTGTTTTATTTATATCGTTTATCACAATTTTGTTTACTTAGATTAAATTTTCCACCTTGGAATATAACAACCAGGCCAAGGACTTCACTTGGGGTGTTTACTCAGGGCTGTAAATCGTCTCTGGCACTCAGTATTTAGTAATAACTTATCAAATGTTAAATGAATGTCAGAGCCAAACACACATACAACAAGGAATGGGTGGAGGCTTGGGGACTTTGATTCAGTATAATATAAAATGAAACTACATTCCTTAGTGCTAACCATCCAACAAGAAATACTTATAGAAGAAAGTCACAGTTTGTGTTTCTACGGGATGTTATTCTCATGCATTTTCAGCATTATTCTCTGAATTTGTTCATACTTTACAAAAAATTTTCATAATTCTTACATTAAGCTGTTTATTACATCTTACACAGCTTAGATTCTTACATCTAATCTGTTTATCACATACATTCACTGAT